TATATAAATATATATATATATATAGATATATAGATATAGATAGATATATATATGTGAGTGTGTGTGTGTGTTTGTGTGTTGGGGGGAGGGGCGCGTAAACAATAGGAAGTCAAAGCATACCTTTACATAAATTATTATCAACTGCAGGAAATTGTGACTTTTCTCAACATTTCTCATGTTTTAATTTCTTAAAATTTTAAATACCAAGTATTTTGGTTAAAATCAAAAGTTAGACAAAAGCAAAATAAACTAACTAGAAAAAGAAAACAACTTTATAGGAAAAAATATATATCCTTGTTCTTTCTGGAGTCTTATTTTTTGTAGCTTGTACAAAGCTCTGACATTTACACATACACCAGTTATAGTCTGGTGCTTCAGCATTAATATATGGTGTCATATAATATCCGGTCACACAGAGGAATTAAATTGGTGCTTTTACTTAAAAACTAGGAGATTTTGTGCAATAAAAGTACTCTTGAGGGAATACATATTAACAGTCCACACATCACTGCCATCTAGTGACTAAGAAAACTGAGGAAACATAAAATAAACCATCCATCCATCCATCCATCATCTTTTATCTGCATCTTCCTTTTTGGGTCATAGAAATGCATTAATAAATTTTACAGGATAAACTTTGATCTTGTTGCTGTATAGGACAGGCACACACGATGTGGGACAGGGACATACAATTACTTTTTTAAATATTGAAAAAAACAGTAGTTGGAAAAAATATAGAACTGTTTGGAGAACGACACTTTCACACACACAAAGCTCTTTGTTGTGTCTGTTGAATAAGAAAAAGTTAAGTTTGTGGAAAAGCTTATCACATATTTTCTTTTTTGAATTTATTTCCAGTATGTATTTATTGTTTGTTTTCCATACCTCAAAGTCAAAAGCATTTTTCAGGTGTGTGTGATATTTTTCCTCATAAACAAAACTGAGTTAGCTGTGAGAAGTTTGATAAAGCATTTTCATTTTAAATCAGGGATAGTAGTACTTTAAATTGGGATTTTTTTTAACCTAGAATAACTATTTAAATATGCCATAATTAGAGAAGAAATGAACTGATAACTGTAATTGGACTCATTAAGTAAATCGTTTTCTAGACAAGAACCAAGAAGACACGAAACACACACACACTCACATCTGAGGCCAGTTTAGAGACACCTAATAACCTAATGTGTGGTTCTGGATGGTGGTCAAACAGAACTGACTGTATATAGAAACAATTCAAATACTTTGTAAGTAACAAAATTATGGGTTTTACATGATAGCTGTTAAGTGTAAAGATTGTATAACCAAGCCTTGTTAGTATGCTTCTTCTTTTGACTTTTCCCTCTTCAGGGGTAATCACACGAAGACGTCCTCCTCTATCTCACTCTGTCCTTGACATCATCTGTCCTCACTCCAACTACCTCCATGTCCTCTAACTCCATCCATATATCTCCTCTTTGTCTTTTTCCTGGCAGCTGCATTTCTAACATTCTTCTACCAATATACCCACTGTCCCTCCTCTGGACATGTCCAAACCATCTCAGTCTGGCCTCTCTAACTTTATCTCCCAGTTGTTCAACCTGTGCTGTACCTCTGATGATCTCATCCCTAATCTTATCTGGCCTTGTCACTCCTAAGGAGAACTTCATCATCTTCATTTCTGCAACT